AGATTTAAAGATACAAGTAAGACAGCTTGGTGAAATTAAGAAATAAATAAATAAATAATGTACTTAATGAACCATTCAGACCTTGCAAACTTAATGTTGGCAAAGACGGCATTTATCATGAATTTCTAATTAGAATGGGACCAAAAGCCAAGGAAACCTATTCATCCGGAATTTCTAATTAGAATGGGACCCAAAGCCAAGGAAACCATGCTGACGCTTTACAACAAAATCTGGGAGACCAGTCTCGTACCTAGCAAATGGAAATGGGACCAAAAGCCAAGGAAACCATGCTGACGCTTTACAGACCAAAAGCCAAGGAAACCATGCTGACGCTTTTCAAAATGGGACCAAAAGCCAAGGAAACCATGCTGATGCTTTTCAACAAAGTGTGGGTGACCAGTCTCGTACCTAGCCAATGGAAAGTTGCCATAGTAATACCAGTTCTAATAAAGGGCAAATACCCTAGCAAAAGCGTGCTGGCTAAACTTATGGAAAGAATGGTTAACAGAATGCTAACCTGGTTCCTTGAGACTAAAAATATTCTTAAGAGTAAACAAGCCGGTTTTAGGCCACAAAGATCAACGAAATAACAAGCAACCACTTTCTCCCAACACATCAAAGATGCCCTTGATGCAAGAAATACATACAAACACATCAAAGATGCCCTTGATGCAAGAAATACCCTTAGTCTGTTTTCGTCAATTTCAAATCAGCATATGACTTAGTATTAAGCATAACAAGCTAAACTGGATACAAGCATTCATTGCACAAAGGCCGTGTAATGCCAGATACGGAAATGCTCTAACAAAATCCGATCTTTTACAAACAGGCCTTCCACAGGGAGCTGGCACAAGCTGCACTCTTTCCGATGTCTTCATCAATGACATAGCCGAATTGGTACAGACAGTAACGGGCATCAAGTGCTTACTTTATGCAGATGATCTGGTACTATGGTATTCCGCCCCTAAGAAAAACGCTAAGAAGAGGACGGAAAGTGCTCTTAATAGTGCACTTAAATTACTAGCAAACTGGTGCGACAACACCGCGAAAACTGCATTCCAAACTTTTTCTTTGGCCCATCACCCCCTTCGAAGGTGTAAGGATACTACCATAGAAAAAACCAATGAGTTCACATATCTCGGAATGACATTTGACACAAAGCTAACGTGGAAAAGTCACATTGCTAAAATAGCAGAACGAGTCTCCAATAGACTGAATGTACTGAACCGTCTTGTTGGTAGCGTATGGGGCTGTGCGCGTTCAACTCTAAACACCAATTACAAGATATTTATTCAGCAAATAATGTTGTATTGCTGCGAGCCACTCATTACAGCCACAGAGGTGACTCCCAAACAACTCGAGAAGGCACACAACCAAGCATTACGACTAATTACTGGTGGGATAAAATCAACACTCATTGATCCTGTATGAGAAGCTACTGCGCATTCCCATGGACAAGTTCTTCAGCACCTATGAGAATATACCAAGACATTTGAAAATGCAATCTGGCCTAATACAGAAAGCCATAGAACTGAAGAAAGAATTACAAATCGATGACAAAAGTAAATGCCTCCCTTTTCCAATGAACATATTAGTAGACACTGATGTAGTGCGTTGCACCCAACGGCTTGACTTCTTTAGGAAATCAAACACTCCAGCAGAGCTAATGCGCTCACTGGCCCTTGGGACAATCAATGTCAACTATCCTGCAAATCAATGGCTCCAAGTCTTCACTGAAATACATAGAAAACCAAGTAAACATTGGTGCAGGTGTCTTTTCTGAAGTCTTCTCTTTCTACGCAGCAGCGGGACCCAATAGATCCGCTTTGGATGGGGAAATAGAGGTCATTAGGATATCACTAAGCCAATTATGTTGCTAAAAAACGAAATTCACCAAAACGTGATACTTTTAGACTCACATTCAGCAATAAACTCAATTGGAAGCAGGAAGCCACCCAAAACGGCTAAGATAAAGAAATGTAGAAAACTCTATGAGCTGCTGAGAGAGAAAAACAAAACAGTGGTCCTACAGTGGATTTCTGGTCACTGTGGTATTGCAGGCAATGAGCTTGCTGACACACTTGCTAAGAAGGGGACAACGAATTTGCAATGAATGGACCGGCCGATGTCTTTCCACACAATGAAGGCCTTAATCAGAAGAGAATTCCAGACCTCAAGGTGCAACGAACTTAAAGCTTGAACAAAGGAGAAACAGTGGGCAGTGGCTCTCTCCGATATACCCGAATAGCCAAGAATCGAAGCCGTTGCTGAGTTTAGACTACGTACCGGACACGATTGCTTGGCAAAACACCTTCACAGATTGGGAGTATACACTCAACCCACATGCCCTCTATGTAACCTACGTGAGGTAATGGAGAATACCCACCTAATGCGATATCCAGCTCTATAGACAACGACGGAAACCCAGAGATACAGGGATTCAAGAAGACAGCTAATGAACTGCTATCAATTAACTGCTATAAATGTACCCCCCCCCCTTGGGGGAAGCTGAAGTCAAAGCTATTAAGGGCTAATATGATAGATATCATAAAGCCTGCCATTTGAAATAAATGATGAGGCAGACCCCTGGGTGAAACTGAAGTCAAAGTTTAAGGGCTAATGATAAATATCACAAAGACTGCCATTTGAAATAATTATTATCAAAATTGCACATAGACTAATTAGTTCAAAATTCATTAAGCTGTTACATTATTGAAAATGAAATGCTTTTTAAGATGAAACTAATCAAGCAACAGTAGTATTATTTTAGCAGTCAAAACATATCCAGTTTAAAAAATAATGTGGTTTTAAATTATATAAAAAAATTTTGCTATAAGCCTTTGACAACGTCTTTAACATTCTGATATTTCTAAAGACGGGTCTAGCCAAGAGAACATATCTCTAATTAAGATACTTTCGATGGAACCCGAAAAGAATATAGAATTTGCGTTTTCTTCCGTATAATCTCGTTTTTACTTCGCCCAACAGTATGACAATAAACCCTTTATACTCAAACATGCTTTCCTGTTCGATTTCTAATTCAATAAAGTTAAAACTGTAAAATCGCTTAAATTGTAATTTTTTTTATGGTTTTAAATTAAAAAAATGTCTAATTGTTTTGCTACTGCTAGTTATCAGTAGCGCTAGCTGTGAGTGTAATCTTTGGTAAGGCACGATTTGTGCAAAACCATAAGTCAGCTTTGATATTGGAGCACATCTATGAATTTCTTCATATTTTTTTCATATAATGAGCTATTGTCTTTGTCTGATAATTCGCATTTCTTCATTCAAAAATTTTAATGGAGTCAAATCATATTTTTGGCAAGTTATCGCACATACATTTCCGTTTGGTTATGTTGGCGAAGAGGTGGTTTGAATGGAACTTTTTACGCATCTCAAGGTTACAATAACGTCACTTGTGTGAATTTATGCTCTAAACTACTTTCAGTAGTAAAAGATTTTGTGAAAAATTCTAAATATCACTCATCATGATCTTCGCTTAAACTTTATGAAAGTTAGAAGTTGATGACATAGCTGTTGGTAGGTTGATAGAAGCGGAAGTTAATTTATCTGTTGTCGATAACGCAGAAATCATTTTGACTAATTCATCGCCTCTTGGGTATGAAGGCGGTTGGTGCGAAATAACACCAATGCTTAATTCGTGGACATTATCATTAGCAGGTTTTTTCAATGGGAAGTTATATGTTGATGGTGATTCGTCAAATTCGACTTCATCTGTGGAGATGTTTTAATTTCCTGAAGGACCTCCTCAGTGGACCGAAGTGACTAATACCACTTCTGATTCAAGTTCAATGATCTCTTTTAGAAGAAGTCAAGTCAGACTTGATCAGAAAATAAAGGAAAATATTTTCTTGGGTTTGAAATTGCAATGTGTCAACAACGAGATTAACGTCTCACATATCTCCCTCCTAATTTTAGAGAGGTCTCTGTTGAAAGCCTTCCAAATCACTGGTTCTTTTGCACTGGCAACTCTTGAGTGATAAATCTGCGGTATGAACCTGCTGGTAATATTTAAGCAATATTTCTATACTAAAACCAATTAAAAGCTAAACAACTTTCAATATATAAAAAATGAAAGACGGGAGATGTTTGCACATTTTCCCAAATAAGCTTAGCAATTGCTGCTAACGTCCTTACGTTACTGCTCTAAAACTATAATCGACTTAAAATTGCTGATTGTCAAGTGGCCAAGTTGTTTAGGAATGACCATCCGTCATGGCTGATAAAATTGGATGAAATGTTTTAAATATCTTTCTATTTTCTAACAGCTAGTGAGTTCCAGCAACTACAGAATTCTTCGTTGGTCTAATTTCACTATTTGAACCTATCAATAAGATTGACAGTTATATCGTAACAGCTTTTTAATTCCGATACTTTGACAGAAGTGATAATCTTCATATGACCTATGAGTTGTAAATATCCATCGAAAAGTAATTTGTTTTATATTCGAACTATTTAAATTAATAAACAAAGAGAGATTTACCCAAATCGCGCACATTATAAAGGAACTTATTTCGAAATGATTACCTTTTGCTAGCTATTTGACACCTTGTTTAAATTGTTTGAAAACTTATATAGTTGAAGGTTTAAATGGCAAATGAATTATTAGTAAACAAGCCTTAATACTCAAAGGTTCTCTTTGATTGGGATGCGATGTGATATTGATTTTTTCATATAAGCATCCGAAATGGGAGGTAACATGTGTTTTTGCATGATTGGTCACTGACGCTTTTCAATTGTTTTAACAAGATTACGCAGTAACGCTGTTAATATATAATGTAAACAATATATAGCCAGTAACGAAAAACATTTAAGCAATTAGCTAAAAGATCTACGCTAGGAATGCGATATTCCTGACAGTTAAGTTGGTTGCTATTTCACATTCCAAAAGAAAATCCACATTTTTTGTTTACGTTCTGAGAATGCCTATCAAAAAATACGAAATGTATAGAGACATCGTGGTGCTGAAATTACTTATTTAACTAGCAGTTCGATAATGTTGATTTTTTATTGCTAATGTAGTTGATTTCGCACAGAATGTGCTACAAAAAAATTGTTCAACTATGTACGTAATAAAATCAGACTTGAAACGATTCATAAGACTACTCAATGAATTTTGACGTTTATTAATTGTCGCCTTAGTGGTTTGCTCCCAGTATGTGATGCAAATGATTGGTTTAAATCTGTTTGTTTCTAAGAAGATCATGATACGCCGTAGGTCTACTTTAGCAAACGTTATTCATGACTAATGCTTTGATATTTCTAATAGTTAGGAAGCAATTAGACATTAGTGTGAATTGCATTAAAGTTAATTTCATTCTTTGATAATTCAATTTTTAAACAAATAGCATTCGTAACTGGAATCATTTTCTCAAGCCGGTTATTCATTTATCTGCATTGGAATATTTTCATTAGTTACATTTCAACTATCTACTAATACCACTGTCTTGTTTTTATTCAGTTTTTCTATACAAATTATTCGACAAATTTAAATACATATGTGGCTGCTGGCTAACATGAAGCGATCATTTTTAAAAGGAAAATCATAAGAAGCTGTGTTTGTGAATTTCAGTAAAGGCTGTTTGAATGGAAATTTTACGCTTCTCATGGTTAAAATTACGTCACTCGTGTGAATGCGTGCTCTAAATCAAATTCGGTAGTAAAATATTTTATGAAAAAAATTTCTAAATATCACTCATTTTAATCTAAGCTTAAACTAATCAGTTCTATTTTGAGGTTAGAAAATAAAAAAACCAAGGTAATCCCCTTTGAAAAATGCACAAGTTTTTAATGATTCTTTACTGACGTCTTCCGTTTGATCAAACCATAATTAAACAAAGCAGACACGATTTTCAAATAAATTAATTAAATGTTCCAATCAATTGAATTTATTTTTTCCTATTTTTATTCAGATAGATAAAAACTTAAGTAGAAATAAAATAAATAGTACAGAGTGCTCCGGTGAGATGTTGAGACAAAGATCATTAAAATCTGCAAGTGTCAATAAAATATTGATTTGTCATTAAAATGGAAGTGACTGCGCGATTAAAACCACTTTTTTCAAAGATATATGGTTACATAAGTTCGTATTGTAACTAAAATTTTTCATTTCACTACAACCCATGATTTGAAAAATATGTAATTAATACGATGCGATATTTGAAATTCATCCGTGATGAGTACATTTGCCTCTCAGCCAATCCGCTTCCAATAAACAACCTGCCATTATGTTTTTTCATGAATGCAAAT